CACCGAGGTGGGGCGGCTGGCCAGCCCACGGAAAGCACATGCTGCCTCCATGCCCTCAGACTCTGTGGAAATGGCTCCAGAACCTGAGGCCTCTCGGAGGGGTGTGGCCTGGTGAGTGTCCATGCCAGACTCCCGTGGAGTCTCGCTGTTGGGGGGGTTCAGAAACAGATGTTGCACACACAGAACTAGGGTCCCCAACAGGGTCTGGAGCTCGTGCCGTGACCTTGCTGTGAATCTGCCACCTGCTTCTCTCGTGTGTGCAAGCGTGGGGTTTTACACACCGTTTTTTTAAAACATTTTTCTCATTCATAAAGGGGAACACATGGGTGCATGAGAGACAGGAAGCACCCCGGAGGGCTTCGTCACACCGAGGCCCTACTCCTGTGCTCCCAGCGAGCCTGGGGCCAGCAGGATTCGGACGCCGTTTGGTCACGTGGGGTCTGGCTTCCTTGGCTGGGCAGCGAACGGCTGAGGCACGGGGCGGCCCCATGGTCCTCCGCAGCTCCCGTCTCCCCCATTCAGCTGCAGGAAGGCCTCCCGGGCTCCCTGTGCTCTCCACACAGGACTCAGGCATGCAGGTCACTGTGCAGACCCCTGCAGGCACTCCCGGCCTCAAAGCAACGGGGACCTGGCCCCAGGGCTCAGCGCACCTTCACGCCCAGAGCCCAGGGCAGGAGTGGGCAGCAGGGAGCTGGCCAGAGAGAAGGGCGGGCAGACCACGCTGGGCCGCTGCGCTGTCTGGTCCCAACCACCCCCACGGCAGAGGCCTTCTCCCTCCTTCGAAGGTCTCCCTCCCGGAGGCCAAGCAGGGGAGCCCACTCCCAAGGAGCGCTCAGTCTGTCAGGTAACGGGGACGAGGCCTGAGAGGACGGCAGGGACTCACCCCAGAGGGAGTGGCCAGAGGTGCAGTGCTTCAGGGCACTGGACTCCCACATGGCCCGTCCTCTCTCTGGCCAAATGAAAATAAATAAATAAATGAATAAAGTTAAATAAAATAATTTTAAAAAAAAAAATGTTTAAACTTCAGCTGCTTTTCTTTTTCTTTTTTTTTTGCAATTTGTCAGGAGGCACGTGAACTTGCAGGAAATAGAGAGATCGCCCCCTAGGGGCTTGGCCACACCACAACCAGATCTCCTCCATTCTCCGTTGGGGTTTTGGGCAGACACACACTCATGCCCGGAGTGTTTTCCAAGCTGCCGGATGGGGGACTCAAACCTGCAGCCAGCCACCCTAGCCCTCACACCACAGGCTGGCTTTCTGCTGCTTCCCACCCACTTCCTCCTTCCCAGGCGGGCCTCTGACCTTCACCCCACACCCTTTCTCCAAAGAAGCCGCTCGGAGCTCTTGTGAAGGCCCTGAGCTGCAGCTGGTAGGCTGTTTTGGCAGGAGAGCCCCAGGAACAGTGCCCTCCCCAGCCTGGCCTGCGGGCCTCTCTGCTGGCCCCCAGGGGAGGAGGCTGGGGTGGGCAGGGCCTTCCCAGCCTGCTGTCCTCCCCCCAGAGGAGCCAGCCTTGGGGTGCCCAGCCTGGCCACCCTCGATGGGGATGGGAGGCAGCCGCAGAGGCCCCGCTCCTTGGAGGTGTGGGGCGCACGGGCAGGGGCCTGGAGAACTGCTCTGGGGCTCCGGGGGCCTGTGCTCTGCCTCCCCCACCGTCCGTGTGCCCGGATGACCAACTACCTGGCTCGGGCTACGCCCTGGCTCCCCAGCTTCCCTGAGGATTCCTACTGAGTTGGGGAGTCCAGCGGTGACCCCCCCTTCTGGTAACCCCGAGGCGTGGGGAGCGCCAGAACTCGCACTCGCGGACGGGATCTCCCACGCAGGGGCCGCCAGCCTCATCCTGCCCTTGCGCGGGGCCACCTGAGCCTGGCTGTGGGACCAGATCAGCTCCCAGGCTCCTGGGCGGCGTGGGTCCCAGGCCCGATTCTGCAAACAAAGTGAAGCGAAGCCACCGGGCGGTTCCACCAGGCGCGGCAGGTGGCGGGCACTGGGGCTGCGGCTGTGAGTGGGACACCGGGTCCGGCCCGGGCCCAGCCAGAGAGGACCGGCAGACTGAGCGCAGCCCCTCCAGCTGCGGGGACGCCGACTTCCCTGCCAGGGTGTGGGAGAGGCCAGGGCTCGACCAGTGGCCTGAGCGTCACAATGGCCCCGGTCCCCATGGCAACCCTTTGGACCCCGAGGGTGGTGGCTGCACACAGCCAGCCTCAGGCTCTGCTCTGCGCCAGGACACAGGCAAGTGGCCACAGGAGGCCTGGGCAGGCGTGGGGCGGGGGTGGGGGGCCAGGGGTAGTGTAGGTCGGGAGGACACGGAGGGGTAGGCCTGGGGGACAAAGGCCCTGTGGACTCCAGCTGGCCCTCCCTCTCCCCTCACCCAGGCAAGGTCCTCCAGAGGCCATCCCACAGGGCAGGTTCAGTCCCACCTCAGCCCAGGTCCCTCTCTGGGTCCCCAGGAAGGTCAGGGACCGCCTGCCCAGAGGAGGCAGGCTGTGTCCTCACCTAGTCAGTTCTCGTCACTCCTCTACCCTCCCCGCTGCTGTGACAACCTGCGACCCCCAAAGTGAAGCCACTGCCCAGCAAGAGGCTCTGACCCCCTCCCCACAGGTGGCTAGGAGGTGGGGACAACTTCCAGGGGTGCTGGTCCCTTTCCAAGGAGCCCCCTGCAGGCCAGCCCTGTGGCCTGCCCTGTCCAGGGGACCCAGAGCTGGAAACCGGGTCTGGGGGAGGGTCAGACTCTGGTTCAGTGAGTGAGTTCAAACCCTGGCCCCAGAGCTGCCTGGCTTTTGGCCTCAGACGCCCCATCGTGGGGGAGAGGGATATCCACCAACCGGAGGGTTTTCAGGAGTGGGAGCTGGCAGGTGCTTCCTCGGAACTGAGGCTTGGGCACCTCCTGCACTGGTCCAGCAACCAGCTGGCCTCACCGACCTGCCTTGCAACTGTGCAGACGGGGTCCCAGGGAAGCCCTACAGAGGATGGCCCACAAATGTCCCCCAGAGGCTCCACACAGCCCAGGACCACACGCCCCTCTCCACAGCCCAGGGGCACTGTCAGATGAGGCACTGAGGCCCTGGCCAGGACACAGGCCCCAGAGCCCTGTCCTCATGTGCCCTGTCTCATCACCCCAAATGACAGCCAGCCCTTGGAGAGACTTTCTACCCCTCGGCATCCACTTCTGTCCAGGTCTCAGCCCTGAAGCCAGCCTCTTCCCAGAGATGTGCCCTGACAGAGGGACAGAGGCTGGGCCTGGGGGCAGTGGGCCACAGCCGTCCACTGAGACATCGCCCTGAGTGTGTCTGGGTGGGTGCCGAGGTCAGCCTGCCCTCGGCAGCTCACGCCGGCCTCCACCCCCAGCTCCGACAATGAGCTTCCGAGTGGCAGGCCTGGACCTGGACAAGATGAAGCTGGACAGCCCCCAGCCCTTCCTGGGCCAGGAGGAGGCCGAGGAGGCCGAAGAGGCAGAAGACCAGCAGCTGCTGGAGCCCGAGGCCTGGAGGACCTACACAGAGCGCCGCAACGCACTGCGCGAGTTCCTGACGGCGGACCTGAGCCCGCACCTGCTCCAGCGCCACCACGCCCGCGTGCAGCTGCTGCGGAAGTGCTCCTACTACATCGAGGTCCTCCCCAAGCACCTGGCCCTGGGCGACCAGAACCCGCTGGTGCTGCCCAGCACCATGTTCCAGCTCATCGACCCCTGGAAGTTCCAGCGCATGAAGCAGGTGGGCGCCGCACAGGCCAAGATCCAGCTGCTGCTGCTCGGGGACCTCCTGGAGCGGCTGGACCGTGGCCGCGCAGAGCTGGACGCGCTGCTCGAGGCGCCCGACCCGCAGCCCTTCCTGGCTGGCTGGGGGCTGGTGGAGCGGCAGCTGGCAGACCTGGCGGCGGCCATGGACAGCTTCCTGGCCATGATGGTGCCGGGGCGACTGCACATCAAGCACCGCCTGGTGTCCGACTTTGGTGCCACCAAGATCCCCCACATCCGGCTCATGCTGAGTACCAGGATGCCGGTCATGTTCGACCGGAAGGAGTCGGCAGCCCACAGGGACTGGGCCCGCCTGCGCTGGTTCGTCACCGTCCACCCGGTGGTGCCCGAGCAGTTTGAGCTGCGTTTCAAGCTGCTGGACCCACGGACACAGCAGGAGTGCACGCAGTGTGGCCTCATCCCCGTGGCCGCCTGCTCCTTCGACGTCCATAACCTGCTCCCTGACCGCTCCTACAAGTTCACCATCAAGCGAGCGGAGAGCTGCACGCTGGTGTACGAGCCCTGGCGGGACAGCCTGACCCTGCAGACCGCGCCTGGGCCCCCCGAGGGGCTCACCCCCGGGCGGCTGGGCAAGCCCAGCCCGCCCCAACCGCGCCTTCCAAGAGGTGATTTCTAGTATTTGCCCATGAATAAAGGAGTATAAACACACGTGCAGAACGCATGGCCTCACCTCTGAAAGGGTGCTTCCTTGGAGTCAGGGCGTCTGAGGCCAAGGGGACACTTTTATTTTTAGTTTGCCATGGGGCATGTGTGCTCACCAGAGAGAGGCAGAGAAGGAGGGAACAGTGAGAAATCACCCCCAGGGAGATGGCCACGCTACAATCCCTTCTCCGTCCTCTTCTCGGGGTCTTGGGCCTGCACGCACACACCCAGCATGTTTCTCCAGCCAGCAGGTCTGGGACTCAAACCAGGACGTTGGCCATGCAGGATCCAGCCACCTTAACCTCCATGCCACCTGCAAGTGCACTGCCTGTGGTTCTGGCTTGCGGGCCAGAGGCTGCTGACGTCCCTGGGGTGTACACGGAGCCCTGTCCCAGGACCAGCAGGATCTGCCGCTGCAGGCCACGTCCAGGTACCCACGGATGGGCAAGGTTGCCACAGTACTAGCTGCCTGCCGCGGCCAGGAGCCACCGCCACTCTCTCCAGCAGGAGCAGACTGAGGCTGAGCGGCCAGGGCCTTCCAGAAGCCACGTCCCGCAGGACTGGTGGAGGACGCACACCATCCGAGGAGGAGGTCCACCCATGGTGGGCAGCAGGCGGGGTGTGCTCCCAGAAAGTGGCCGGGAGATGCAGGGTGTGTGGGTGGCAGCTGTCACGGTGCTGGAGGGCAGCGACAGGGGCAGCAGATCCCGCTTCTCGCGCACAGCCTCGAGCCGGTGGCCGCTGGGTCCTGCACGCCGACCACGAGGCGGCTGCATCCACGCCCTGAGCACTGTCCTCGCCAGCTGCTTGTAGGGACGGTGGGCCTGCAAGCGCCGGCACGGCACCTGGGAGAGGCAGCACGCAGCCGCCACGTCGGCCTCCTTGGGGCCCAGGGGCGTCGATAGTCTCAGCCTGCACCAGGTGCTCCCTGCTCACCATGGCTCCCTCGTGGGACAGCAGGTGGCCGGACAGGTCCCGGAGAGCGTGGAGGGCAGGCTCCTGAGCTGGAACTGCCTTCTCCTTGCTGAATGGGGGCGACAGAGGCAGCCTGGCGCGGGCTCTAGCTTGCTGTCAGGATGTAGGATGCAGTCCCCGGCCTCAGACCTCCACACCCAGCTTCCCACCGAGCATGAAACTGACCGTCAGCCGTGTGCACAGCCCCCAGACCTGGGGCCCAGGTCCCAGACACCGAGGGTGTTGTCAAGGCGGCAGGCAAAGGTCAGGAAGCTGTGGCACTCCCCTCCCTGTGCTACTTCCACAGGGCCATGGGAACAGAGGCAGGGTCCAGCGAGGGTGCCCTTGGGCTTATCCAGGCCAAGGAGGCAGAGGCCTGCTCCCATCAAGTGCCTGGGGCAGCGCCGGGAGGACGAGGCCCAGTGGGTAGAACCACTCCCACCCGAGGACAGTGTGGACCAGAGAGAGCTGACCACCAGGCCTCGTGGCGAGCCTGGGCTGCTGGCACCCTGCACAGGGCCTGAAGGAGGCCGAGGACCGGTTCCTATACTGCTGGCTGTGGGAGACAGGCTGGCAAAGGCGTCGGACAGCCGTCCTCCCTGCCGGTCACGGTCACGTTCTGGCTCTCATCCAGGAGCTCCCGCAGGACAAGGTCCTCAGGGTTGAGCTCCCCACTGGAAAGCCGGAAGTCGGACTCAGAGTTCTTGGGCCCTGCCCTGCGTGATGCCCCTGCCTTCTGGGGGCCGGGTCCCCGTGCCAAGCTCCTTGCCGATGGTGTGGCCCAGCTCCCTCTGCCGCGTGGCTGCCTCCCTCACTGCTGAGTCCCCCATGGCCAAAGACCCTGCTGCCACGTCCTCTGCCTCTGCCGTTGCTACGGCCACACCCTCGGCACCAGCCCCCGGCCTGACCGTGGCCACAGCCATGCCCCGCTCTGCGCTGAGGGCTGCAGGCTGCCAGCTGCTGTCCTGGGTCCGTGCTGCCCCTGAGCCAGGCCCTCGTGGCAGGCACTGTGGGCTCCGCGTGCTTGTAGATGAAGCTGTCTCAGAGCTCGCTGCAGGTGCTGAAGGAGCAGAGGGCTAGGGCGGCACCCTCCAGGACGGCGCCGGCCACGACTGAGCACGTGGAACTCTGTGGAGCACAACACGGCAGCGCCCGGTGTGGCAGGCCACAGGGGCCGGGCCCGGACTCACACCATGACGGGCACAGATGTGAGCCCGCAGGACGGGAGCTGACTGCACCTTCCCCCATGGCTGACTGAAGAGCCACTGCCCACCGCAAGTCAGCCCCGGCCACCCTGCTGGCGCCCATCTACCCAGATGGCAAAGCTGCCCACAGATGCCTCACCTCAGCTCCTGCCACAGCACGCCCCATGAGCCTAGGGAGACAAAGGCCACAGCCCCTCTTACAGATGGGGAAACTGAGGCTGCGGAGGCCAGCAAGGCTCCCATGTGCTGGGCCCTGGCAGGGGTGGAGAGGGTCAGGGTGGCCAGGCTCCCACAAATGGGGGCCTGGCCCTGGGTGCTCCGCCATGGCCAGTGTCACCAACCTGTATCCTCATCACTCCCCGATGGCCTCGGCCACATGGAGCCAGCACGTCATCTGTGCGTCCCCGTGATGCCACCATGTGGCAGGGCACAAGTGGGCAGTGCTGGGTGACAGGTCCTGCTGCAGGTGGAGGGACTGCCCTGCCGTGCAGGGTCACAGGAGACGCAGCTGACAACGGCGTCGCTGTGGTGGCCGTTCCGTGGACGGGAGGCTCTGCCAGGTGACGCGGTGCATCTCCTGCTGGTGGCACCTCTGGCCACACTGGGGGCCTGGGCTGCAAGGTCTGCTGGCCACGTGTGTTCACACATGGTGGGCGAGGCACCATCCAGCGGGCTGAGGGTAGTCTCGGTGCGAGGAGGGCCTGGGAGGTGTGGGAACCGCCGCACTTGGCACTCCGGCCCCGCCCTCGTGGGCAGGTGGAAGGCGGGGACCCTGGGTCAGGCAGCATGCTGCCACGTGGCCATGTCCATCTGCTCAGCGGGCAGTCTCAGGGTGGCCCCCGCAGATGTGGCAGCACTGTGGGAGGAGGGGCTCAGGGCTCAGCACCATGGCTCAGGTGGAAGCAAGTGCAGCCCCAGGTTGGGGACAGACACACCGGACGCCTGGGCCCAAGGAGAGGGCTGGCAGCAGCCCGGAGCCAGGCAGGCAGGCAGGGAGGGCTCGGAGGTGGGAGTGGAGGGAGGGTATGATCTGCACTCACCAGGGCGGCTGGCCCCAGCACAGCTCCTGACGGCCATCAGCACGTGAGCACCAGAGCCCTGGGGCCGGGGGCCGAGGGGCTGTCGTACCCCTAGAGCAGCCTCAGCCTCACCCCCACTGGTCCTCAGGTGCCCTCCAGAGACCTGCCCCAACCAGGTGCCCGGGGCCCCCTGGACCAGCCCCCAAACCAAAAACTCCTGCCCTGGGCTCTTTCACTTCCCCCAGCTTGGCCTGGACAACAGAAACCTACCCTGGCCAGAGGGGCAGCCTGTGGCGAGGAGATCTGCATTTCTGCAAAAACAGAAGGGCCACGCCCCAGGAAATGCTGGGGCAGCCACACCCCGCCCTGGCCCTCTCCTAGGTCCAGTGCCTCTGAGAAGGCCCTCGAGGCCCCTCACCAACAGCAGACCTGTACCCTGGGGGCCGGGGGCTGGGCCTGCTAAAGCCCGGCCTCTCTGTGTTCAGAGAGGCCCCGTGATGGTAGCTGTGGGCGGGGCCAGTGCACCTGCTGGCCTGTGTGTGGATGGGCACCTGGTGCAGGCAGCCTGATGGCCTCCAGGTGGCCGCGGGTTGTAGACAAGCAGTGGGGCACAGGCTTCACATCTACGGGCCTGCTGGGTGGTGAGTGATGGGCAGCTTCTTGCAGCTGCCACAGTGAGGCAAGGCGGGGTGGGCCGAGGGCCGGGCAGGGCACAGCAGGTCACGTAAGGCACCCCACGTGCGTGTTGGGTAGCGTGTCCACTGCCTGGTGCCAGAGCTGGAAGGTCAGTGGGTTGATCTGAGCTGTACTTCCAAGACAGGGCTGGCCCCAGGCTGCGGCCCCAGGGCTGGGCAGAGTGGGCTGGCAGCAGGAGCGCTGGCACAGTGCGAGGTGCAGGCTGTGGGGGGGCTCCTAGGTCTGGGTCGCAGGACTGGCCGCAGGTCACAAGGACACCATGGACACTCTAGCCAGTCACAGGGAGACGGACCCCTCCCGGCACCCCCCAGGCCCCTCCA